GACAAGAATTTCATTTGTGCTTCAGAAATCTCAGGGATGTTGGCGTGCATGCTATTGGGCCCAGAACAGTGCTGATTTTACACTGTTTTCAATGGGGCTTGAATTAGTGGACTGTACACGGGTAGTTGACTCGCCGATCAAACTCCACAAGCAACAGCCACTCACGGACATGTCACGCTGTGTGCATGCCTTTTGCTGTGACCCTAAACATGTTAGCTCACATGACAAAGGTGCATTACGAACACGTACCAAAACTTGAATGCCGACTCGTAAGCCGCGACTGGCGCAGCACACGCGCGCCGCGCACGTATATGTGAATGACATGTAACACTTGAACAAAAAACCCCGTAGTGTCCACTTTCGACAAGGCTACAGTTGCGGTGACGAAGCACTAGTGAGCCACTACATCAGTAACAAGGGGCGCAGGGATGAACAAAGAAATGTCCGCGTCGCGGTTCGCAGACATTTGCTCGTCACTTGATCAATAGGAATAACTGTGACTGACTCGTCACCACGCAGGTTCGTGCATGGAATCCTTACCTAGAAATTCTTGTCACTTCAAGCATAGAGGAATAAGAATTTTTCCTCTCAGCTCTCTCGGTGGTTACATCTCTCATACAAATTAATTAGGAAAGTCCGTTGCTGCAGTAAATAGGCTCAACAGGCCAGCAGATACTTAAAAAAATAAGACGACATGCAATATTAAGCTTTCAGAATATAGTTTGAGATTAAACAGTGACAGGATTTTCATTTTTGTCGCTTCTATTTTTGTCGCTTCTCCTCTTGGAAAAATAAAAACGAACAACAAGTGGAAGAAGAGGGGAAAAAATGAAAGAACGGGAAAACGAGACAAGGGGATGAAAATCACCAGTTTTCTTTAAAATACCTCGGAGTTAACTCCCTTCCACCGTCAATGCGTTGTCACTTGAAGGAATGATGGGAGCTGGTGACTATTTCCTTCCCCGGAAACAGGGGCTTAGCCACGGGGGAGGGGGGAACGTGCCCCCCTCAACTATTCCCCGGTGCCCCCCAGGTACCACCCACAAAAAAATGAATGGATATTGAACAAGACCAACAAAAGCTTGCCCCCAAAACCACACCCCTGAAAGCTGATGCATGTACCCCCATAAGATGCTGGTTCCCCCTTGTGCTCCCCACCCAGTAAATTCCTACGCCATTGCCCGGAAAGTCCTGGTGACGCTAATGAAAGACCTGGTATTTTTCAGTACAGCTCGATGCGCATTCAGCTTAACACTGTGACGAACATGGCTTTTTGTCTCTTTCGTATTGTCTTCAGCTGGCATGACATTAACTGCTTGTTGTGGTTCCTGCCAAAACAATAGTCCCGGATAAGTGGCAACATTCGCGATGAACAAAATTATGAACAATAGATCCCACAACGAGCGTCGTCTATACGCTACAGGTAATCATAGCAGAGAATATCGTTTAAAGATTACCCTCAGTTCATGGCAATTAACTTAAAAATATTTGAAAATTAGAAGATGCTAACTATTGTCTTGTTGCGACATTTTAAATGGTTTAAACCGAGTATTAAACATAAACCGGCCACAGATATTGCTTCTGAGCCGAGCGTAACTCGCAACACTTGCGATAAAAATGCAGAGATTATAAACAGGATGCCCAATATTTATAATGAAGCTCAAAGGGTGATACAAATCGTGTGTCACAATGCATGCATACAATTAATGATGATGCTTCTTGTGAAAGGTAGTTCATCAAAATATGCATGATGTGAGTCCATCTTTTTTAACGTTGAAGTGCAAAACAATTTTAGCTAAAAATTGCATCACGGCCACAATACAGACTTTTCTTTCTTTTTTCTGAATTGTTTTCAAATTGTTTTTCAAACTAGACAGAACTGGTTCTCGTCTCGGTGTGGTTGCTGGGCGAGGTGTTCAGTGGTAACGTGCTGGTGCGTTCATTGACAGCATCGTAGTGTACAGCCAAATTGTTGGAGGCCTCTGTGCTGTGGTGCAGAGGTAGAGTGTCCTTGTCTGCTTCTTCCTTGTTTCTCTTGCACGGACAGCATCGGGTCAGGCTCCGCAGCACCCTGGTGATCAGCCGGTCCATGGGTGCCAGGGAGTGCATCCACAGGGGCAGGGCGTCCCAATTGCGCAGCTTCTTCGGGAGCACATCCGGCTTCTTGCGCTGCAGCACGTTGACGACAATGACAAAGATGCCGAGGAGAAGGACCGGGAGGCCCACGGCCAACAGGAGCCAGACTGTGATCAGCGACAGCCCGAAGACCACCAGCGGCACGAGGAAGAACATGACGACCAGGTAGAAGATGGCGAACCAGCGGTACTTGGCTGTGGTGTTGCCCAGAGTCTTGGCCAGGAAGATGGGCACCTTGCGCATGAAGGGGAGAGGGTACCAAAGGAGGATGCCGCTGATGTTGAAGAAAAGGTGGCAGAGGGCGATCTGGAGGCTGTTCTTGAGCTTGTCTCCAGAGCTGGCCATAGCAGCCAGAAGGCTGGTAGCCGTGGTGCCGATGTTGGAGCCCAGCGTCATCGGGTAGACGCGGTCCAAGGTGATAACGCCCAGGCCGACCAACGGGGTCATGGCTGAGGTGAAGACGGAGCTGCTCTGCACCAGGAAGGTTACTCCGGCTCCCACCAGGATGGCTAAGTAGCCCGCAGCCCAGCCGAAGGGGTAGGGGAAATCGGCGTTGATGACGCGCTTGATGATGCCAGCCATGCGGCCCTTGAGGATGGAATTGAGGAGTTTCACCATGAGGATGAGGCAGGTGCAAAGAAGAATGAGAGTCAGGATGAGCAGGATTGCACCAACGCCCCTCTCGGACAAGCCAGTGTTGGCAAACAAATATGAACCTGCAGTGTATCGAAAATAGATTAACAAACACTCTCTAAGCCACTTTTTGTAAATGCGGTAAAAACAAGGTCTGATGGGTTTATTGGGAATCAGAATTTTTTGTTCTTATCGGGAAAACGCGCTAATGGTTTAGGAATATTAATCTCTCTCACTCAGACGTAAACCGACACTCTGCCAGCTGTGAATAATGAGTGCGTAAGTCCCAAGTTCTTATTCCATGCAATATCTTATATACATACATCTCTCCACTCCTACTTCGATGTACTCTGTGACCATATCCGGGTTCCCCGTGAAACCAGCACCTGCCACGGTGGCAGCCGCCGTCGGCGGCGGCATGGTGGTATTCGCCAGCACCGCTATTTTCTCCTTTTTACACCATTCCTTCAGTAGTTTGGCCTCGCTTGGATCCACCTTTCCGAGCGCGATCTTGGCTACAACTTTACTGTCGATCTGAAAGGATAGAGCATAATTATGAGGCGAAGTGGCCACATAGTTTTCAAATGGAGTACCGGTACATCGCTAGTTAACGTTGGTTTTTCTTACCCGAAAAAGCTGCCGGGACAGATTTTTTTACCCACAAATTCTTTCAACCTTGCGATTGGGCTTTGACCCAACCAAGCACGACGTGTTAATACGCCAACCGCGGATATGAAAAACCTCAACAAATGTACACGTCCTCCATGGAACAAATAAGGAAAATTATGTGTGTTTACATGTCATCTGGCGTCTAGAGGTTAAATTTGAAAAGTAGTCACGTGGTTGTTCTTGCTACCCAGCCTCTGCTACGATTGAGTCTGGAAACTTCTTAGCTATGTATGTAGACATTATGAGGTTCGGGTGCCCGGAGCCATACTCACGTCGATTATCTTCTTCGAGAATGGCTTGGTGAGCACCTTCAGGAGCTCCACCTTGGAGCCCTCGCTGGTGGTGACGTTGAACCTGCCCACGATGGCGTTGGTCATATGGTAGAGGTACTTTGTGGCACACTCCAGCGGCAGGAGGCAGATGACGGACAGCCAGTTGAACATGTCGTGGATGGTGGCACCGCCGAAGGCCCGCCGGAACTCGTTGCGGTTGCCTGACTGGGCCAGCGAGACGATGGTGTTGGTGACCGAGGTGCCGATGTTGGCGCCCATGATGATGAAAATGGCCGGCTCCACTTGTAGAACTGTTTGTCAAGAGAGCGATGGCGTCAGTAATTAAATGTCATGGTGAAACACCGAAATCAAATCAGCCTAGTTATCCCGATTACTATGCAGTGGCGGCGTTCAATAAATGCAGACCCTGCTGATGGGGGGGGGGAACTCATCAAGCTTTGCCATGCAAGACACTCTAACGACGTAATTTCAAGAGGCCTCTAAATCTAAAAAGTTTAGCTTCTTGTACGGGATCTTTCGAAAAGGGCTAGAAAATGGACAAGTTTCCGACTACTGCCGTGTATACTTTCTCCATGACAGAACCCATTTTTCTGTTTCCAACCTAATGCCATCTCTCATACGTCGACTTCGTCTTTTGCTCTGAATTCGTCTTTTTAGCCTCTGACCGCAGACATCTGCAGGAATTTACTGCTTTATAATCAACGGAAAGAACCTTTGGCTTGTACAACTGTATGGGATATGATGATTCTATCGAAAGCAGACATCGAACCTGAGGTAGAGACCAGACGACTAAGACGAATCCGAAGTTTGCAGAGATCGATGTTTTGGAAGGCTGGCAGTTTTGCAGCCAGCTCCGTTATCGTAGACATGCATCAACATTGCAAGAACAGAAAGTGAAAAACAAAAACTTCCTTTGTTTTGTGTTAATTAGTCTTCGGGCTTGAGACATGAAATGTATTTCAGGGGGGGGGGGATAGGGAGGGCGTAGTCTTACTTCCAGCAGACACGATGGAGACCACGATAGACGTGGAAGTGCTTGAACTCTGAACAAGTACAGTTGCTAGGATACCGATCATCAAACCGCAGATGGGGTTGTTCAGCAGCGTGCTTTCGCTGAATACCTCACCAGCTTCCTTTCCTGGAGCACACAAGACAAAATACGTCATAGAACCGCAACATTTGCAGACTAGAACATCTTTTTCCTTGTGGAACAATATAAAAATGACACCTTTCCCAAGAAGAATTATAGAATGATAGTTGTCTCCGTCTCTATTTGCTCACCCCCGAGTAGCCTGAAGGCGGAACTCATCAGATCCAGCGAGCAGATGAAGAGGTACAGCAGCACTAGAACAGTGACAGGCTTGCCGATCCACTCAACGAGGACTCGGTACAACTTGCCTCTTGTGGTCAGTTCTGGTGAAGTTATAAGAAATAATGCTTGCATCTTGTAACAATGTGATTCGTAATTATAGGAGAAGGTTTCTCTTCAACCATCAGGCGTGATTCAAAACGCACATCTTTTCAGTTCTATTGAATACAATTTGGTTGTTGGGATGTTGGAAAATTATCTTTAATAACATCTGCTCTTTTTTCTCACTACAAAAGTAGGGGGTTGATCTTAATAGCCCCATTTCCCTGGTCAAAAAGATGGGGGATAGATAACCCCATCCCCATGGATCTACGTCCATGCTTTCCCCCTCACCAGACCAAGGCTGAGTGGTATCCTGCAACTCAGACAGAGCCCATGGGTCCACAGTCTCGTCCAACTCGCCCCCAGAGATGATGGAGTCCACTGTTTTCCTCACGCTTCTCCTGACGCTTGCTGAGTACTTGCGCACACGGCCAGCGGCCCGGCCGATGCTGGTTAGCCTGGATTGACGCATCCCCGTCCCTGTCGGGTCGGTCTCGGGATGTTCTCCCACCTATACGGGATCGGGAAACAGGTGGGTGGAAAAAACAAAGAGTGAATGAATGTTTGTTTTATTCATGTCACGGCAAACGCTCTCTGCAATAATTTCTCACATGGGCGAACGCAAAGGGTTAGTATCTTCAAAATGCTTTTTATGGGAGGAAACAGCGGGGCCCCTGTTTAAAAAAATATTCATCAGGCCTTCCGATCTCTAAAATGGGACAATCCATACGAGTTTGAATGGTAAGTCGTTAGTTCGTTCACGCATGCACACTTTCCCGCAAAATGCCAAGTATAGGCGTAGACATGTATCCAGCGTTTTTGCAAGAGGGGAATGTTTCTGAGGTTGGTCCATTTGTGGGGATTGATGGCGTGAAAGCGTTGCTGGAAAGAACGCCCTACTTTGGGGATGAGTGCATTTTCCGGAAAAGGATGGAAGGGGCTTGAGTTTAATCTAGCATTGATATGTGCCATTGTGTCATCTCTAATGTTCTTGCCATGGTGTTTGTTACAGACCTTTTTTATGCTGCTGTAACTTTTCATTTCCACGAATGTATTGACGTCATCCCTGGCAGAAGCCTCGTTGGTACAGCTGCTTCAGCATCAAATATGACACAATTGAAACATGTTTTCAATGGGCAACACGTTCAGGTTACAAACGGTGCGGAAACCCTCAGAAAGGTGCACTTAAACTGACACACAGCGACAGAATCCTCATTTGTCGGAAACAGCATGGGGAATTTGAAATGATGAAAAAAGAAATCCAAAACAAATGAAACGTGTCATCATTCCAAAGTACTGGATCTTTTTGTAATATATACTTCAGTGTGACTTTCACGTATTCAAATCTTCTAAGGAATTGATTAATTATAGCTGCACGCCATATTGAGGTACAATCTCATGACCAGCGGCAAGACCCACGTTCGCACTCGTGATCACTGCAATCGACACAGACATTACACAATGCAGTTATGGGTAATTGATGATGGCTGTGACACCTAACTGGGTCATTGTGCGACTGGACGGGCAGGAGTGCATGCATGCATGGGTGCATGCGTGATGCGCTCGTGTCTGTATTATGACGACGAAGCGAAGGTAAATATTGAATTATATCGGCAACGACCTAGTAAACTCACAAAACTAACGTAGATTTAAAGAGGTTCACTGACACTCAAGCATGTATGCCAATATAATTCTGAGACCCATAGTAAGGTCTCGTAAAAATCCACCTAAGATGTTTGGGCACTGTTTATACCATCTTTTTCAAACAAACCAGCCCAGAGAATCCACAAAGACAGGATCTTCATCTTGCACGGTGTTACCGTGTTGTATTTTTCATTCCTCCGTAGACAATCACACTTCTAATATATGACACGCCACTGTATTCATTCAAGTGTACACATTAATGTACATTGTGAAAATGAATTGCCATTTCCCTGTTCACTCTTAAAAATTGACAGCCTGCGAAGAAACACGCAGAAGCATGCTATCGGAGATTCTCCTTCTGCGTGAGTGGCCACGCAATAGAACTCACGTGGACAGGAGCAAGTACTCTATTATAATGCCAGCAATTCAGCCCTACTGCAGGGAATAAAATGCCGTAGTAATTATACTGTGTTGTGTTTGTTTTTCCACTGTCACGCATATTGCGTGAGTAGCCTTATCAGTAGGCTCAATCAAGGCTCATCAGCAATGGAGAACACGAGGGGTGAAGGCAACACAGGAAGCAAGTTAAAACGTGGCTCTGTGCCCAGTGTACATGAACGAATTTCGAGTGGGGCGCCCAAGGGGAATGGTCTTCCGCTGGGGGGCACGATCGAGCACCTGTGATCCCTCAGTTACGCAAATGTAAAGCGCATGCGTAGTAGACATATGTGAGCTTGGCCGGTATCCTTCCTCAGCGCTTCGCCAAATTTCTCTATAGCATTTTAAGGGGCACTCCACAAGAATAAGTCAAAGGAAATCCTAAGTTTATACATGACTTGCTGAGCTTGCTCAAGAAGTCAGTGGTGTTGAAGTTGTCATATTTGACACGATTTTATAGTCGTATGAAACGTATTTTGTATACTGGACAAATGTTGGTAATACATTGCAATTTTATTGGAAGCATAAAAATAATCAATATTTTTGGTAAAAAGACACATTTGGGGTCTACATCTTTGTCCAGGGCTACATAACAGACTGGGCCTTGAATATTTTGTGTGCCTATTTTCGCCTATACGAGGTTTGGTTGTTGCATCATTTCTGTGTTTCATGAATTCAAGTTCCGAAGGAAAAAAGAGTCCTTTTCTGTCTCATGTGTGTGAAAAAAGTTTTGTACAAAATTGACTCGTGAGACAGAACCACATTCCCCCATCTGTACACGCCTTATGCACATGTCTATCACATGCACAATCACGAATGCATCCGTTTTGTGAGAACACCTGCTTAATGTACGGCTAAAATGACAATTGTCAATAAAATGAAGTCAACTAACGATATGCTGTTTGTAGCAAGGCACATTTTGTGTGATTAGCTACACCGATTATGACAATAGAAATAACGTCAAAAAAGTCAAGTTATAATTAAAAGTAACAGTTTTCATTAATAACAGTGATGAAAATAGGATAGAAACATATCACATACAAATTAAAGCCCCGTCGAAAGATTAGATTGTGTTGTGAAATTTGCACAAATTTAATCCGAGCCGAGTAGCCATATATAATAGTGGTCACTGCAGAGTCTCGACAGTCGGCAGTTTTGAATTATAAGCTGCGCGGATAGCGGAGCTTTCTAGAAGCATTTCCAGGATAACCCAAGGCATCGTTGGTTGATGTTGTCTGTAGGTACCATGTTCAGGAGTTTCTCTGAATGGAGTCTGTCCTCTCATTGATAAGGAACTAAAAAGGTACACACGGGTGCGATCAATAATACCTTAATCAAGACTTCACAACAGAAATAAAATTCATACAGTCCTGGTCGTGGAAGCCAATTTCCCATTTACCGATTTGTGTCCATTTTTGGCGGCCAATATAGTTTCACATTTCACGCATATCATCCTGACGTTTGTCTAACGGAAAGCAGAAGGCTATAAGCATTCCATTCCACTTTGTCGGTTAAAGTCCAGGTTTTTGTTTACTGTTTACGGACTTATCAGAAAACCTGGAAGTAGCTGACTCTGTTATACAGGTAATTCTTTAAATGTCTAGGTCACTCTTTGTGTTCTGTTTACGTGTTTGATTCATTGTAGAAGGTCTGAAAAAATTGGTAAAAACAAATATTCCAAGCAATCAGGGTAATTAACATTCCCACTTCTGGGAAGAACTTGCGCCCCCCCCCCCAAAAAAAAGAAAAAGAAAACAATGGCAAAGGAATAACGATCTTTCAAGAAAATACCTTTCTTTCAATATTACAACGCAAAACAAACTGATAAATTGGCAGATAGCCCCTCGGTTGGTACTTTTGCCCCCCAAATGGCCACAGTATCAAGTGCCTGCATTCTTGAACAAGTTGTTTTTGAGGCAGGTTTGTCAAAAGTTTAACAACTAAGATGAATAGATACTCAACTTCGAACTAGCAATACGTTACAGTGCATCTGAAATATCACTTCACTTTTTGACATTTTAATAATATCTGTGCAGTGTTGATGCGTTGTCCTTGGACAAGTCAAACCAGTTTCCATATGTTTCACGCCTGTGCATCATTCAGTATTGAACTGACATTAGTATACTGACAATCATTTTGAGTTTAGTTGATGTCCGTCACATGCTCAGTCACAAAGGCAACGCGTGTTACGAACCAATCTGCCGCCATTTCGACTTCTACTAGAGAAATGATAGCTTGAGGAAAATCACAATGTAAATATATAATTATAACTGCGTGAATACAACGCCATGGAGTGGAAATTTATTCCTGAAATAGCCAGCAGATAAGCTAAATCAGAGCTAAAAGGAAGAGTCTAATCCAGATGAAAGCCCCACAGTGGAAAGAACTGATTTATTATTCATTTATGGACTGTGTTGGTTTCTCAGGCACGATGGCCCGTGCGCATTACTCGGACGGCACTCTCGATAAAAGTGGCATCATGATATTTTATTGATTGCACACGAACCATCGGTGCCGTTGGTTCGTGTACAAATTAAAATGAACCAGTAAGGAAACGGAGGCGACGTGTATTAGGCCTATAAACACACGAGGTGCACGCTGACACGTTTTGGCAATCACATACCGCGATCTACCAAGAATAATTGTGTTTGGTTATAACTTGTTAACTAAGAGAATTTCTTTGGTTGATCTGGGCAGGAATAACACGTGCAACGATGTACTTCTCGAATCCCCCAAACAAATTAACAACAAGAAACAATCCAACAAAATGTCACGGTTTGTAACCTCAATTACGCATCCTACTGAGTATCGGTTTAGTTCCAATGATCACCAGTGGTCTATACACGGAAATTCCTGGTTGTTAAATGGCAGAACGGATACACGGAAGGGGGAATTATTACGTATGTTCCTTAAGCGAAACCCTACATCATGAAGGCATGCATGTTTCCCAGAAATAAAGGGGAAAGTTTCAAATTATTTCAAACGACTAGTCAGCCGGGCCAATGCAGAATAAACGGTAAGTACCCCTGACTTTTTAGGCTGAAACTGATGCAAGAATTTATCAGGAACGAAATATTATACGGAAGAGGGCATTCAAATCTAAGGTTGCCTTATCGATCTCTTAAGGTTGTGACTGCCTCTTTCATATCACGAATGGAAATTCGTGATGTGTATGTTATAAAAACAATTGTACACCGAGATCCAGGTCATACATATTAATTAGATGCAGAAACAAATTACGGTTGTTAGAATGCCTATGCGATAAAAGCGGTTGTGAACAGCTACACGAAGCAAATACAGACCTTCTTCCGAAGCAAAAAGCCCTACAAATATAATGAAGTTTCTCACTGGAGTGACCCTCCTCGTAAAAGTTGTCCTATCTACGACAAGCTGGTCTTAAATTGGCCTCTTTATTGTCTGAATATTTTGGAGATCATCAAAATAAAATTAAAGTGAAATGTAAGGCTGAGACACTGCTATATTCCTCCTTAAAAATTCCCATAATTATGCCCGTTTCTAGCAGTGTAGTCAAGAGAGGGCGCAATTCAACTTCTTTCTTCCATCAAGACAGGCAGCTTCGTTCGGTCAATGACCGTAAAGACAGCAGTACTTCATTTCAGTCGCGCCATTTGTGACCGATTTCCATATAAACGCCATCATGAAAAAACCCAGGTTAAATCACCGATGTAACACGATTTTTCTTTTGAGCACCTGGGTTGAAAGGTGGGTGTGACCAACCCCTCGACAAAAATTTTAGTCGAATAACATGCAAATCGTCGAGGTAGTGAAATTTGGAATTCGGTGAACCTTAAAAGAAAGTCTTTTGCTTTGATTCAAGCTGTCAAATCTGTGTTATAATTAACTCTTTGCATGATTCATCAATTTCCTGTCACCCCTACGCGAGCTCCCAAGGCCCCCTTTCGTTCTTCTCTCCCTTTTAGGAAAAAATACCCTCCAAGGGCTGATATCCTGAGCGTATTACTTGTCTTCCGCCGTCGGTCTTCCTTGACTGTACGTCCCGGATTGACGTAGAGTGCACTTAGTCACTTCTCCTTGCTGTGTTCCCCCAACTGAATTTCTTGTCTCTCTATGCGGCTTGTTTTTAACTTTGTCCCCACCTTCGCTTGCTCTCAGGCTTCTTCCAAACAATGACTCTATTTTTGGCCACGGAATGCCTGTGCATTTCTACCAAGAAGACACAACAGAGTTCTTATAACCTCTGTAAGAACTGTAGAGAGTATTCCCCTTATAATTTTTGTTTTCACGCAAAATCTTCCCAGATGAATACGTATGCATAAGAGCATCCATAATATACGCAGAAGGGACGAGACAGCGGGGAGGGTTACCCCTCTCGCTTTTTGACAGGGGGAGGGCTGCGTTAAAGATGTACCCTACTGCAAGCCTTCAACCCTCCACCATTTTTATAGGCTGCCCCTCCAAATGCAACAGATTCCGAGATGCAGCCACAGACACTTGTGCTACAGTATGCATTCTGTCATGTGACTGAGTTTGACAGAAAGGACAGCTTTGTGCAGAATGTGTGCTTACACAATGTACCAATAATTGAAGCAGGTATTTTACACAGTAAGGAAGAGTTTTAAGGCTGCCTGGGGCTGTAGATAGGGTTGGAAACATTTCGGCCGATTTGTTTTGCCAAGTCGGTCCAACCTGTTCCAGATTGTGAAGATAGTTCATATACCAAAGCGTTATTCTTAGCCGCAGAGCTCGATCGTCATTAGCGAAGCAGGTCTTCAAACGGGAATGAATATATTACCAACACCAAGAGAACTGAGTCACGATGCAGATCCCATTTGCGGCCATCGAGGATATTGAGAATTATACATTACGTCATCGCGGTTAAGCACAGTCCGTGAAGTGGTACAGCAATGTCACAAACGGCTGCTTTGATATGTTATGATATTTCACATCATAAGACCTCCGATGTAAACCCATAAGCTCAATCACACTCATTCTATCATAAAATTTACACTCATGAAAACTGTCTCGTCACGGCTTGTTTTTCTTTGTCGGCAAATGATAAAATCCGCATCAAATCTTGTTATTGTCTTAAATTATTAACTGAAAAACATCACTTCAGTGACCAGGCTGATTGCACACTCAGTCCTACCGTTAGAGATTTAAATCAATACTATGTCATAATAAATTGTAATGACCTGACGTGAGATTTGAGAAGAACCTTTCATGGAGGATAATGCAGTGATTTCCAACAGGACCCGGCCCTACACTCTAAAACTGCATGGCTTCAATGGCGTATCCAGCGAGGGCGGGGGGGAGGCACGGAATTTTATTTTCACAGAGAATACTTCATACGTGAGTCGGAAAGAAAGTAATCGGTATGTTTATTGATCAAATATCAGCACCAAAACCCAAGGAAAACAACACCAGCGAATAAAAACAAGGATGTTGGGACCTTGAGGAAGGCTTTTGATTTTTTTCATGTGTTCATGTTGAATGAGTCCGAAGCCGCTTTCGGTTTTGAATTTACCCCCCTACCCGGACACGGCTGGATACGCCGCTGCATATCATGTTCAGAAGCTAAACATCAGGCGTTCCATTCGAATTTCTAAAGATCAATGCTCAATCGCAAGACACTGTCCTTGAATAACCTAAAACATCTCTTCCCATTTAATTAAACATGTTTTCAAACTGATGGTAAATTACTAGAGAGAAGTGTTTAACCGCAAGATGAACCTAGGTTTTGCAGTGCAATCTGCTGGAATGCGAAGTCCTGAATGCCAATCTCAATACAGATCGAACAACACTGGAGAACAATCAAATTAATGTGGAGTTGGAAACGCTGCCGCGGGAAAAATTGCCTTGTCGGGCAATACAACCTGTTTTAATGAGAACATGCCCTTGCGTACTCGGCACATAATACTTCTGTCAAAAAATCCCGATAAAGTTTTTCCACGCTGTCTTTAATTAACAATTTATCCTTTTGCGTGGTCTTCAACACTACTGATCCACCCCTTTTGCTCAATCGACCAACTCCGCCTTCTCCAGGGCATGCAGTGAGCCCAGACGAAAGCTCACATTTACCGCACCAACAAAATTTAAATGTCTCACCAGATCTTCCTTGTCTTCCATTCGTGTCATGCTGAACCTGAAGGTTCCCTTCTACACTCCTTCGAAAATCCCGCCCCTCGCGCAGCGAGTAGCTAGCACGAGCACCGACAGCAGCGGCTGTGATGACGGCACCCAGCAATTGTCCGGACCCTTGGCGAAGTCAAGTTAGAAGAGTCCACCATCCGCCGCAACTCCTCTTTATAAGCACACCCGGCATGAGTCATAGCCAAGAGGGAGTACTCTATCACAAGGCTTTTTGTATAGGAGAAGTGAAAATTATGAGGACACGTGCATGAAACTCTGGGAGCGGATATTCAGAATTTGCTAGTTTTATTCTTGGCCAAAATGCTTGAACTGTTGCCAGTGCTTTCATGAGGCTTGTCGATTCATGTTCAGTTACAAATAGGATGTTTGCTTCCAACAGCCAGCAAATTTAGAGTGCAAATGCTTGTCCAATGTGATTTGCACATTGAAAAGCAGCTAACACACCGTGAGCGCCCAGACAAAGGAAAGATTGTGTGACTTTTTACTTGTGCACCCTTTTCCCCAAAGACTACAGGTCAGGACCCGAAACTCACTCGAAAGGCGACGGTTTCTGCACTTGCAAAAATGATGGTAATAATGGATGATCCACATACTAATTACATTTTAAGGGATTGGGACCACATGAAAAACAGCCTCACTTATCAGTGTGTCAGAGTGGCAAAAAGATTGAAAACAGGCAATTTGGAGGATGACCAAAAGGAACTAGTCAGGAATATGACTCTGAAACTCACTCTTTGCCTATTTTAGTTTGTAAGTGGCTAATTCCTGTATAATTCCGAAAGGGGAAGAAATTCCTTCTTTTTATGCAGTGAGCAGCTTTCCAACAGTAAAATGCATCTAAAATTAAATTTGCCTGTTGTAGCGTTCTCGTTGAGCATCACGTTCCCTTTAAATGAGAATTACATGGAAAAAAGGAAGGGATGTATTCTAAAGGGAAATTACTAATGAAGTCCACCGCCTTCAAAGGCCCGATAGAATTCTAAATTTGCTATGTGTCTATAGCACTGAGAGCACACACGCTGTGAGTTAGATTATGGGGTGAGTTCGAGCGAGGACCAGTGATAGACCGTTGGCAGATTTACCTGCTAACACCTTTATACAAAATAAATCCAGGTACCAGGCGAAACTGATCGGAAGTTGATGAATTGTCGCTTGTGGAACTTGCCTCATGACGGCTGTAAATTTGCCAACTGCAAGGACAAAGTGCAGAAGAAGACTGAACTGCGAAAGATTTGCCCAGGAAACGTAACAATTATCAAATTAAGAGAATTGCTTTTATTAGTGAAGCGAACAACAGGTGGACCATATGATCGTCACAACAGGATTTCAGTGTGTCATCCACAGTCACTGATGCGAGCAAGAAATTACAATGTAACATATCTTGAAGGCTTGAGAAGAGTGCGTATCGTAAGTCCGACGCCTCCAAAGTCCGAATTTTCTGACAACATTATTTTTCGGCCTCATCATAGTTCCGACGCCTCAAAGGTCCGACGCCTCATAAATCTGACGTTGGACCAACGAGGTGTCGGTCTTTCGAGCCGTCGGACTTACGAGCTGAACCCCTTGAGAAGATGGCCGCGTCCTGTATGCAGCAGGAAAAAAAGTCCGTCTGAGGGAAACGTGATGTGAAACCATGGCGCCTGTGTTGTTTTAGCTACAGGCTGGCCATTATTTTGGACATCGCACATCTCTACAAAAAAGAAACACAAAAAACAGAGGATTATAGTTGTATCTTGAAGAAAATAAGCATCTTCACTATACTTTCTAAAAATTGAAATAAGTTCAGTGGATTTTTACCAATTCTTTTCAGGGGCTAAAATGCCCGACGGAACTCATGAAAGTGCGCTTACTAAGCGGAAGAACCCGTCTGGTCTTCTTTTCTCATGGCATCTTCCTCATCGTGTATCGAAGGGAAGCTTTCGTAGAGCTGACTCCTGAGTCCTAACTCAAAAGGCTAAGACCTTAAACATGGGCTGTGCCCACAATTTGGTCACGTCTGGAAGCCACGCGTGCGCTCAGATGGCTTCATGCATTTCCTTAGCCTTAGGCTATAGCTTAAAGGAAGTTCAGACATATCAAAAGGTCAGTAAATAAACCGCCATAGACAACAGGGATAAACGTTTCCCCTATCGCCATTATGATAACAATGCCCTCCATTGCAAAATAAAGCCCTGTGGGTGGTCCCTTTCATCCACATTAAAAGGGGTGTAAGCTACAGTACCAGCCGCAGTGTCACATGTCAGCTGGCAATTTAGTCCACGGGCCTCAAAATGCTCCAATAGCAGAGAGTTTGTTAAGTTGAGAACGTGTTGAGTTGCAGGGCCTACTTAAAAGCTGTTGTATCCAACTGAATGAAAGGTCTAATTTGGGAAACAGCATGCAAGTACAGTGCACAGAATATTCCACAAAAGGACTCTTTGGGACTTCCAAATATGTCAGTTCGAGAGCTATGCTGTTTCGCGTTATCTTGGGGATATAATTAATATTACAATAACTAAGTTAACTGTTATGCGTGGAATATACAGGAAATCCTTTAATACACGAAAAGAAACGAAATTTTCATGGATACGCTATTTCTGTTCATGAATTGCACACCAGCAAACTTGACTTGGTAGACAGTCGTCACGGCTTTTCAGCATCAATAAACCAGAGTCCGTGATCTTTAAATCTCTGCAGCTTTTTCTCTTTGCTCTGAATCCAGTTGTTGTGAACCACGGCCGCCGATTGACGGTGCAGCTGACGCCAGCCGGGCGTCATGAAGAACAGCTTCCCGTTTGGGAAGATCTCCGACGGCAAGACCATCGTCCGGAGCCCGGGGATCTGATTCTTAGTCAGCATCTCGTTCATCAGGACCTGGTCCGAGATTTTCGTCTTGGATCGATGCAGCCGCCGAAGCCACTCCCGGACGAATTCCCTGGTTTTCTCGGCGGCGCGGAAGAACACGAACCCAGCGCAGTACGCCACGTAGGGTTTATGCTGGTCCTCTTCGACAGCGACGTGGAAGTCCCCCTGAAAGTAAGGGAAGGGATCATTCAGCCAGACGGTATCCACGTCGCTGAACAGCACGTCGTGGCCCCGTTGGAGCAGCTGATAGATGTAGGCCGGCCGCTTATTCACCATGGCGTTGTAGATGGGGGAATCCCAGGGAAGCTGCTCGGCCGGCGTGTCGAAGCCCCGGGACACCACCACGTGCACGCCCGGTCGTCCGTACAGGAACCGCTGGGTTTCGCGGTCCTCGGCTACGATGAGGATCTTGGGCCGAGTGGCGATCCGGCGGATGCTCTCCAACCAGTTCGCTGTGAAGTCGAGGAATGCCTTGTTGGTAGTGGCGAGGACTACCGGTCTAGGGTCGTCGGCTGCATCCTTCCATGGGCTTTGCGTTGCTGCCACGCCCGGTGGTGGTGGGGCCTCAACGAAGCGCACTACTGTTGGGTCGAAACTCTCAATCTCTTGACTGCTGTTCTTGAAATATCGCCTCCCTGCATAAGTAAAATACAAGGTCTTATATAAATTGTTTCCTGATGATTTGACTGCACCTGTGAATTGGCCTGTGATAATTTATGACACACTCACGACGGACTCGGCTACAGCTGGCCCAATAACTGACAAAATCGACTTCAATTCTTGCCGGAGCATCCTACACAAACTAAGCCATACATGTATTAGATGTTTGGAAAACGCAGACATTTCTGGAATGATGAAACTATCACAACCTTTGACAAGGAAAAGTTGTTCCCTTAACTACCTGCTTATTCCCATGTGATTACCATTCATGCATGCACTTCTCCTTAAAGGGGGCGGGCAGGGGGCTCGTTACCCCCACTCATCAAGGCTTGTCTCCCCAGTGTGCCACTGTTCACCCCCCCCTTCAGAAATTGAGTACCCCTCAAGTTTCCCCCGTGCAAAATGCATCCCAGTTATGACACTGACCGGACCACTGATCGTTGTGGATAGCATGCAAGCAGTAGTATCCGACCCCTACCTTCAGCCTCCTGGCTTGCATTCTCCAAGTTATTTTTTTGAAGGTTGACTTCAGTGGGGGAGACAATTGCTGAAAAAGCTTAAGAATAACAGGCCATCATGAGGTATATTCACCGTTATTCAAATCCACAAATATTTTTTTTTACAAGAGGCAATCCAAGGTACAAAACTTCCTTGCGGCACGGAGGCCTATTAGTCGGTAGGGGTCAGTCAATGCAAGAACAGGGATAAATTCTTAGAGATTTAGAGAACAAACAGATACGTGTGAGGGTAGAGATGAGATGGGTGGTGATGCCCGCTGACGGATACTGGCTCTGTGGCCTGATGGGCAGGTTGATGATTGTAATGGCGTCTCAAGTAGCAGGACCGCTGTATACGTGCGTTTTCAAGATTCACCTTAGTGTTATGATAATTAGCAAGTAACACTAAATGTTTTCAAAATAACAACTCTCATTACCGTCTAATGACTATCTGCGAAGTCTGGAATGCCGCTATAAAACAGCCCGGAAACGCAGAACGACACTTTTCCAAGATCACGGAATTTTGCATTTCCGTGATATGCTATCAGGACATTCCGCGGCTCCAAGAAATTTTATTGAGGAATTCCGCCACCCTAATACTTTTTCGAAACATTTTCTTAAAGCTCCCCCGTACGATGGAAAGTGAAAATTGATACCAATCCAGCCAATCGATGTCACACACAAGGCTGCCATCAACAACACTGCAGGCCACCTCCCGAGACGACACGTAAACTTTGCCATCTTCTGCAAAATAATTATAGAAAACAATATTTATCAGTACATCGACAAGAATATAATATGAAATCAGTGCTCTGAAATACGTCTGATATATTTGCCTTCAATATGTATAATTCCTAAATAATACGGTGATTCTTCATTCAAACATAGAGCAAATAAAGGAAGGTGGTCTCTGTGGCATTCACCATTCAACATTATGATCTCAAAATCATTGCCCTTTTATTATTTTATGCCGGAAGGATTTCCCCCCCCCAAAGTCTGTGCAGTTTTGTAATGTTTTGTTGTAATGTTTCAATAAAGGAAATTAAAAATGAATGTTACCCACCTTTCACCCTTAGCTTTGCGCGATCGTTCGCATCAAATCACATAGGTGTGGTGCATTTTTAATCACATCTCGTAGCTGGGCGTCTCGCAGTTAGCTGTTCATGGATTTCTATGGAATGTTAACCATCCAATCCAGAGGAAACGTGAACTTTCCAGTCGTGGTTGTCTCGCAGCAGTTTTAGAATAGCTTTGGGTCAGAACTTACAGAGTATTTATCAAAGCGACGAAGCTCAGCATTTGCATTAAACTGGACAAGTCTTTCGTACGTAGCGCGCACTCTCTCGTCTGCACGAGCGTCATTACATAACCGCCATACAAATGCTAAATAAGCCGCGCTGTGTTAATGAAGAGGATAAAACCGAATGCAAACATGATTGTTTGATGAGGCTATACTCCATGTGGGTGTGGGACATGTGTAAATACAAGACCAGTCAGGTATTCTTACGGGGGAAAACCTCCGAGCTTGAGATTTTAGTAATTTTCTTTTCTTGTTTAATACAACGCTATCAGCCTGCTGAGTCCTCGTCTCGGATTTCGTACCCTGGAACAGATCCAGAAATATGGGCGGGTGGGATTGACTTTATGTAAGCTTGATTTAGCTTCGCGAATCCTGACATTTCGTGTGGGAACCAGAACGTTTGTATTGTAACGGAACATGGGGCTGAATCACTAAAATGAGCTGTATCATGATTATAACGTGGAAACAAGGCCCATCAATTGGACACTATTCAGTTCCGCGTTCGAGGTTTGATGTTAAGTTTAACAAGCCGTTTTAACATGACAGTCGGTCCCGTGACGGAATATGTTAACATCTGTGCAAGGACCGCCTCGCTGCGCCACATCGTCAAACCTATAGGCCGAGCTCGGGCGGTTTGTTCGCATGTGTTCACGAACAGCTCGATTTGTTGGTCGTGGGTCGGCCGCTCGAACGCCGGGAACAAACAACCGGTTATCGATGGTAGTTAGTGACCAGCAACATGCACACGGCGGCGTCCATGTACATGTAGGCTACGTTATTCGAGAGTTAATGTTTGGATGGGCTGAATTCTTTTCTATATAAACAGGAACATTCATTTCTGTGTTACGGAAAATAATTAATGTTAATTTTGCAAAACTTCCAATTGTCTATGGCTTTGGAAGCCATCTCTCTACTTTTTGCAGCTGTTCAAAAATCAAAATCTCACAAGTTTTTCCGTGTGTTCCTGTAAAACCCTAGCGAGGAGGTGGTGTGTGATCCTGTTCCGAGAACAGTGTTCTTGAGTGGGTTCCCGCCGTTCGAGCGCGAGAACAAGAAACCCTGGTCAAGAACAGGCCGCCCGAACTCGACCATAGATTTACCTTCGACGTAGGGGGCGTCTGTTTAGCAGTCCAATCAATAGACAGAGGAAAGACACAGGAGGGCGTTTGTCATAACGCAGCTTCAAACACTTTTCGACTGATAATCATAGTGCTGTACGTGCTAGCTTGTCATTGACAATATTAAAATTTACATGACATTATCATTTTTAACCTTTTCATCCTTTAATCTATGAAGTAGGAAATCAAGGGCGGATCCAGATCCATGGAGGGGGGGTTGAAACGGGGGGGTGGTCAAAATAGGAGTTTTCTTTCATGTGACCTTTCATGGTCTTTCTGCGTGTCAAGGCTAAACATTCGGGGCAAGTTTATACCAATTAGGAAGGGAAATGAATCAGACCAAAAATTCGCCCTTTTTATTTTGGCCTATAGTTTAGCAGAAAAGTTCAGGGGGGGGGCTTACCTTTAAAATGGAATTGCCGAATACGCAAATTTATTATGTTTTATATTAACAGTGGGTAAAAGGTAATTTGACCTGTCTTACTCTGAGGAATAAGCGCTGTGGGCCCACCATCAGGTTAATGGGCCTATGCAGTATATTTCGAAAGCTGTCTCTGTAAATGTACCTATGCATATATATCCTATTTAATATTATTTTCAATTTTTATTGTGCAAGTTTTAAAAACATTTTAGTGTGTTTTGTTTGTTGCTGCGAAGCTGCATAAATTTAAATTAACTGATATAAAGCAGAAAGGCATGTTAAATACATGTACAGTTTTCATACAATTTAATTAAGAGGACTACGAAGTTGCATAAAATACGTTCCCAAGTACTCAACATTCATAATTATTTTGGTGACCCTTTAAAGGAACTGTGCAATGGATTTATTTTATTTTACTAAAACACTCCGTTAGGATGTTTGATAACATTTTCTCTTGTTCTGTACCTCCTTTTGTTTGGTGTTTATTCTTTCATAAGCTTCAGGATAATATCAAGCCAGCGGGCAACCCATTCTCAGGAATGTTTCAATGAGCAAACGTTAGACCAGTCCGGGTTCGAAATTCGGGGCAAATCCGAGGGATGAAATTTTGTGAACCTTTTATCGATCTTGCTTGGTACCCGTCATGTTCCCAGGGAAAAGTCAACAAGTGGCCGTAAAGAGGAATATCCCAAACTAAACAGAGTCCTCCCTGAAAAATAGACAACCGTACAGTGCCTTCTATCGTCCCCCCAAAATAACTTAAACAATTTCCAATGCTCTTAACCCCGAAAGGGTGTGAAATAGTTTTATACAAAATAGAGTACAAAGTTGCACAGGAATGCATCTAAGGAAAAATAAAATCATCGACCTTGCTTTTTGATGCGAATTCATTATTTTGTAACTTTCCGCGCCACGCGAACAAGCCAATGGTGAGCATTGTCACACACAAGAGTGTCCACTAGTCCTCTTGGGCAGTTCGCATTAGAGCACAATATATGTTTCATTTCCGGAGTCCAACTTTGAAAACAGTTTAACTGGGTTGGTCAGGCAGATATAGAGAATTTAGAAACATTTGACTTGCCTCTCTGCCCACTCTCCGATATCTGAAAGACTTTGCAGCAGAACACGTATTCCTGGCACCAATCATGATGAAGGGAATTTGATGTTTTTATCCACTAACCACATGCTATTGTTCCGAAACCGTTCGACCTTTGGGTCATGTCCAATGATCCAATTGTTGTGCACTACCACGATGCCCCTTTTGTCCCTTCGCCACGTTTCGTTGAAGAAGAGCTTCCCGTTCGGGAATCGGTCTGAGTTGAGAACCTGCAGTTTCAACCGCGGCACTTTCTTCTCTGCGATCAGCAGGTTCATGACCACCTGGTCCGGTCTCAGCTTCTCATCCGCCTCCATGAACCGGATCCACTCCCGGACGAACCTCAGGGTTCGCTCTGTTGGCCGGAAGTAAACGAACCCTGCGCAGTAGAAGGACCCCTTTTTTCCCTTCTGCCTGTATTCGTCCACCTCCAGTGCCATGTCGAAGTTGCCTTGTAGAAATGGGAATGGGTCCCTCAGCCAGAAAGTGTCGACGTCACTGAAGAGGACCTCCCATCCTTGCTCCAGGAATCGCAAGATGTACCTCTGGCGCTTGTTGACGAACTTCTTGTACTCCTTGGTGTTGAAGACCAGCTTCTTGGCGGTGGACAGGCCGGATCCAGTTTGCTGGATGTGAAGCCCAACCACTGCCTTGCGGGACAGGAACCGATAAGCCTGCTGGTCTTCGGCCACCACCGTGATGTTGGGGCAGGCCCTGGTACGCCGGATGCTAGCCAACCAGTTCTCAGTCATATCCAAGAAAGCGTTGTTGGTGGTGGTCAGCACGACGGTACTGGCTCGTCTCTGGAGTTCGGCCGCAGTGCACTCCTGCCTTGGGGTCAGTACTGCCCCTCTCTGGCCAGGTTGCTTTGCTCCATGATGGTCGTTGGTAGCCTTCGCTCCCTTCACGCTGATCCGGGACAACTCTTCCCGGTCCTTTTTGTACGTGACCTCAACTTGGAGTTTACGGTCGATCTGATAGGCGTCTGTTTGCCATGAATGCGGTAGGCATGTAACGTGGTTCTGCGTTGTTGAAACTGAAGAACAGAGAAGGAAAACACAGTAAACGAGAACTAAACGGTTTCACACAATTGGAAATGTCAAATAGATAAAGTGCAACTAGCATGTACCAAGCACTATTATGGACATGTTTATAAAGGTTCCCGAGCAGTCCTTAGATTAAATTTCCAAAGTCGAATGCAGAAGGGAGAACTCGTGAAAAGCGCACAACATATTCCAATTAATGTTAAAATCATGTCTCTTTTAAGGACTAACAGGGAAGGGTGGAGCTGAGGCTGTAACATGAATACCAGAGACTACATGCGCTCTTGGAGGAAATGGAATAGGCCTACGTCACAGTCAATTCCACATTTACTCACGTGCAATCAAAACATAGAGGGAGGCGAGGAACACCACCAGCACCATTATCCCTGTGGATTTGTAACGCATACTGTCAAGAGGAAACAAGAGGGCAAATGTGAGCATGAAGGCTGTAGCAGACGATTGAAGAACATCGTCTCCACCACACCAACCATAATTATGGAGACGTTTGTGATTTTTCTGCGAGTGGTCGTGTGTAAACACGTGGGTTGAGGGTTGGCCGAGCGATAACAACTCCAATATTACGTGATATAGAGTGTTTACAGAAGGGTTCGACTATTTACATTTTAACAAATCCGGACACCACTTATACTTCAGCTCAAAATGTCAAAGGCCGTTTGTTTGAGAAAAAATGCATTGAAAAGGACGATGTCCATGCGAATATCTTAGTCAACAAGAAGGGCCCTTTTATGGGTGGTTTACTCTCAGAGGACAATTTCAGAAGTTGTTTGGTGATCATTGGGGAAGAGTTAATAACATGATAAAGGTTGCATTGGTGGCCTTGGCGGGGTTTCACCTAGTAAAGTTTGAGTTTCAGACGTGTTTTTTTACAGATGGTCTTTGGCATGGTAAAAATGTAGTGTTTTTATTTTAATAAATGTAATTATAGCCTAAAATGATCATTCAAACTTGATATTCTCATACCACTGCCTTTTAGTCAACAGAAAATAACTGTTTAAACCTCTAAGAGACGCGGTTGATTCTTCTACATTCAGGGCAATTCATACATACTGTGTTTTCGTACTGCAAAAAACCCTCGAATCCGTGTGATCTGTAGAAGTTTATGATCTCGTTAGGCCGATATCAGCGTCACTTCGTCAATTCCACTCGAAAATTTAATATTGAAATAAATATTTTGTTGTCTTGAAATCATTTCTGGTTCTTGAAATGGTGCATCTCGAACAGGAATTCACATGTTTCGTTTTCCTCAAATCAATGGACTGTTGGATGGAAACTCAAAAGGGTCCATTTCGGCCTGATTGGACTTCCTCGAATGCTGGAATGCACGACGGACCACGGATTGTCCGGATTACACCACGTCTGACTCCCACGATCCAACAGAATATTCCATCAGGGGTATATTTTGCTCAGTTATTGCAGGACTTTAATTTGGTGGAGAAATGGTCACAACCTTACGCACATCAATGCTGAATTGTTGGATACTTTCCTGGGAGATAGGGTCGACCATCGGACCCACTGCTTCATCAGTACACTCTCCTCATCAACTCAGTGACAGAACAGTCCAGAGTCCAACCCCATAAAAGGTTGAAAAGAAAACAGCGAGTCCACGATTAGCTCACCAAGGCTTCATCAATATTTGCCGACAGAGATCCCTGATCGCGGAACTTGGGGAAGGTGTGGAATGCCTTTTTTTGTGTGTGAAAACGTCAACTACTGTCGGTGGGTCCATATAATAGTCACCGTCGATTTTTGTCTTCATTTCGCGGCAGTAGCGTGACTAGAGTCGTAATTTGCAAGAAACATGGACAATGGGGGCCTGTCGTTTAAGAAATTGCTGAAAGAGGGCAGATGCTGAAGACGAAATGGGGAAAACCAAGAACAGAATGAACGTTCTGGTAACCTACAATCCCGCACAGCCATTTTATAAGTAACACTGAATAGTGTCCCCAAACGAGTTAAAATTCTTTTCTATAACTTTTATAGAATTTGATATACAAATGTCACTAATTTTCCCCCGCAGGGCCTTGTTAGCCCTCAAAAAGCAATTATATGGCCTACAAATCTTTAAGGAAAGCAGTATACCTTCAGACATAAAGAAATTGAAAATTGAAGAAAACTGAAGTGTTAAATCCGTAGGAGTTAAAACTAACAGGTAATTTCATACAAATTGAGGTTGATTAAGTGTTGATTATTCCAAGTACAGCACGTGAAATATGTCGTTGTTCCTCAAAAACTCGTTCAGTCTGGCCACAGTCCACAGACGCAGTTCATCAATTGAAAGATCTTGCTCACATCAATCCATGGTAAAAATGTAACCAAAACTTGAAAAGAATTTATCAAAATCGAAGCTCTAACTGAATCGCGCACTTAACATTCGCTACACAAACGAAGGTGACGGAAGGGCGGCCACTCAGGACGCGCGGTGAAACGATTCTTTTCATGTATACAAATGACCCTTGCCCTACTTTCCAGTGCAGCACACATGCGGTAATTACGAACAGGGTTTTTAATCTTGCAGCAATCTCTTCAGTATGCGAGTTCCCACATTCATAGATATCAGTGACTTTATTATCTGCGGCAAAAGCATTTTATCAACGTGGTTTTAGTATCCCAGATTAAGATAGATTGGTAGTAATCCAACAGTGATCCCCCGCCCCTTGGAAAAAAATGATCGTGACAAACGATACCTCAATGCTGCAAATTTTGTACACGGAGTACTAGATTTTTATACTTCGCTGTCAAAGATTTCCAGTTACTTTGGCAATGCATTAGGTATACATGCATATGGGCCAGGTTGGTCAGGAGAGTTCATTTTTTGCCTGGTAGCGACAGTAACGCGTGCATTTCATAATCTTTCTTGAACTGACGAAGTGCAGATCTGACTAGAGAGTGCCTATTTAGGCTAGAAATCTGTCTACCGAGCTCATTAATAAACGTTATAAACTCAAGATATTCCATATTTGAGAGTTCTGAGAGCCATGAAACTGGGGAATTGATGAAATATGGCACTGAACCTCTAGCCCGGACTCAGGGCTTCCAATTCTGAGCAATTTGGATGCAATTTCATATACATTAACGAAGAGTTTAAAAAAATGCATTGAAGAGAAAAAAATATGATTGTATTAGTAGTTCACGTGTACAAAATAGCACCCCAGTGCTTATAATTTAAAAATGTAATTGTTTTTCAACAATTAAATTGTTGAAATGGCCACTGGGGCAAGATTCTCTCTGGGTCACGTTCAACTTGTCTAAAACTCGGATAAAGTCGTACTCCTTCAATGAAGTTTGGGGTACAACCGAGCCAAGCCAGATTACGTGAGACCTCGTCGTTTAATACTACTTTTGAGCCGACGCTATGAATGAGTTATACAAACAAAGTGGCAAAAGGTTAATGCAAGCAAACAAAATATATTTTCCAGACAGGAAAATGTAACTGAAAAATAAGTGCATTAACGTCCTCTGATCAAACCATCTTCTCTTATGCAATGCTGGACCTAAAAAGAGAAAACTCTCTGTATTTGAGAAGGGAGAATGCTTACTCCGGTTTCTTCTTTCCCTCCATGCGAACAGCAGACGGCATAAGGCAGGTGAAATGAAATACTCCTCATCTATCCACACATCGTCGGATGGTCGGTGCGACAGCATTTTACACTTTGGCCCTTCTCGTCCGAAGATGGAAGGTTCACGTTCAGGGTTCTTTGTGTGCTCCGAACCACGCGTGTGAAGCAAACGACCCTGGCCCACAGCAAACATCGCTGTTCATCTCAGCTCGGCAACGAACTGGGAAGGTTATTGAGATTCCAAAAGGAATCTCAGGTAATTGTGAAACGAACCTAAGGCACGCCTATAGGTACTATATTTTTCAATGACATCAAGAGTCAACTTTACTGGTGGTAGGGCCTGCATATGAACTAGTCCGGTGTTTTTAAAAAGCAAGCTCATTCGGGAACAAGACAGTGTGCGCGAGTCCGCGTGGGACTGCAGCGCTGATAGGGCAGCAGATCTCGTATTAAAGGGCGCCCAAATCACGTCGGACGCACTTCATTCGGGCCATGTCCTGTTGGAATATCGAACTCATGCACTCATTGAAAAATGTACGCTCTGCTGATAATTTCATATTTATGATAGGTAATCGATTTAATCTAGTAACTTGGCAATGCTTTGACATTATGGGTGATTACAAAAAGGGAAACAGGATCTCTAATGGGATATTGGACAAGGACGTGTCAGTCTGATTCCCCATCGTCGATCTTTCCTTGAACTCGTTATGGTATATTGAAAACTCTTTGAAATCGTACAAATGTGTTACTATACATCAAAAGATGGTTTCATAATGGAAGAAAGATTTGACTCTTTGGGCGTGCCATATCAATCTTGAAACAGACAGATACCTATGATAATGATTCGTTCCATGCACTTCCGACAACAATGTATTTTACCCGTCACGTCCAGATAAGGTATGGCTGTGAACCCTCTGTGGTGGTACGTGCACGGAAGCTGCAGTGATGTGTTAAGTACACAAAAATAACAATAAGAGCGTGAATTCCTGGGATTACTTTGGGAGTGTACCAGTCAGATTTTTGTCAAATGCACCGTAACGTAACTACGGCGGCCAGGAGACACGGGTCACGTGCATCCCAAGGAATGACGACAGTGCCTCCAGCGACTGTGGATCCTTGAAGTGAGACAAAATGTTTCAGCTGACGACTCAAACCTATCGTTTCTACCTGTGATCCAATCAAGGAAGACGTTCAAATTAAGTTATTGCATTACATGGAAATCAGAGCTGGTGGGAACACAGCTCTTGTGAGAAACTTCAGGTGTTGGAAAAAATGCTGTTCATTATGTGTATAGTATGTGTACTGGTTACCAACTGTCTGTGTGCACTGGCGCATACACCTGCCATTTGGTTCCCCAAAATAGTGACACTCATGTCGCAACTTTCTCTCTGCAGACCACACTCATTTTGCCTTCAACTTGTATGGGTAGCCAAAATTTGCATCAATATCACCCTTTGGTTGGTTTTCGATTTTACCTCCAGTTCGTTCAATTTTGTCTCATCGATTTTAAATAGGGTTGTATTTTCATTTAGTGCAGTAGTCCGTGTGTCATTTTATGTGGTGTTCTGATAACTGTGCGGGGCATTTTTCACACTCTTTTAATTATTCCTTTACCCAAGGCCCACCGTTGTTTTTGCAGCCACTTGTAGGAAAAACACGACTGTGACTCCAAAAGTGCAGACCCTACACACGGCTCTAGTGGGAATCGGAGCTGTACAGACAGCTGTGGTGGGAATACGACAAGAGCGCCCTCATTCAATTGTGAACTACGATCGAATTTCAAAATCATTTTGGGGCACTTTTGAGGAGGCCATCTGAAAATGATTATTCGAAAAAATATCCATTCCTGTATCCAGTTCACTGGCCTATTTTTATCCTTTTTTTGCTCTAGCTCTACGATAGGGAAGAGGCCATAGTCTGCGCCTAATTGTGCAAATTAGTGATAAGGACGCGTATCGTGTCTGAACCTTTGATCCAATGATACCTGCCGTTCATGCAAACCGCTACAACAAGAACAGCGCAAATCAATTAATGATAACCACACACAAATCTGTACAGGGTGCACGCATGTGGAAACTTTAACCTGGACCCGCAGCCATTAATGCGTGCCTTACAACGTTCGCTTGTGTATATATGGTAGCCGAGTTTGTTATCGCTGCATAAACGGAACACTAAACGACCTCGTTGATGTCCTGCGTGCGTGTCTCCAACCATTGACCAAGGACCAAAGTCAGTACTGCTTTCAAAACGATGCAGGACATAGTTTACCTCGTTCTGCTGAATATTTAGCTTTTGTGGATGTTTGATGTTGTTTTGGAGAGACAACATTCGTCAACCCAAATTTATATGCTGGTGATCGGCTGTGGAATGGTGAAGGCTGAAGTTGTTATTTCTCTGTGCTTCTCTGGTCACTCCGGTAGCGCAGATCATTTCTTAGTCTAGAATTGACTTGGCATGAACTGTGGAAGAGACAGAACAAAGTGTCAGTTACTGTAGATCCGGAAAATGTCGTTTTGTTGCAGAAGAGACAACAATTACGATGGTCTAGACGAGCCAAACAAAGAGGATTCACCACTGGTGAGGTAAGCCCCCGTAACCAGTAGTATTATGCCAAAAAGTTATGATTCTGACTGTCGTAACATCAGTGTGGTAAAATGGGGAGCGTGTAAATTCGGTTCCAGTCAAACTAGCTTTATGACAGCCCATATTTTTCGTTGTTTTATAAATGTACATCGGCAGGCATTTCATATAGATTTAAGAAAAAAAGGGATAAAAATGTTAAGCCATATGTTGGGGACAGCCGTGGCCTTGTTCGATTACTAAAAAACCAAAGTTCCCACTTGATTTAACACCCAGGAACGGTGGTGACGCCCTCGTGGACGGAGTTATAGCATCGCGGAGGTCCGCCACGGATGACCTCAATCTCTGGACTAACCCTGATGACGTCAACCACGTGATATCAGAGGATGACAGACAACTTTCCGAGCTGCTCGACCGGAGGCGAAAAGCCTTTTCCAGAGAGGTGACATTATCATTCAGCAATATCGAGCAATATTGTCATGAGTGGGGAGGGGGAAGGGCGGGGCCACTTGCTTTCCCCTTTGTAAAAGAAACGAATGGGGGGAGGATAGAACCTTGACTCTTCTAATGGGTGTGATGTAATTTTGCAATCAGGTGCGGTAGAATGCAAATTTCTAAGTGCTTGTTTTGAGGTATTATAAGCAGTGTAAAATCAAAACGGAGCCGCTAGCGCTTTTATTTCCGCCAACATAGAGTCGAGTTGAACGCACTACGGCTTTGCGGAAATTCTGTTGAAAGCAAAGCCTGTATCATTCTTCGTGTACACGTGTATGTCGCGTCGGGGCGTTTTGTTTATAAAGATGTAATGTGCAGTGCTAGGTCAAAGGTGCGACTGCTTCGCCGCAAACAGTGCTTTCGCTTGCAAAAATGTTTCATGGTTCAGACTCCATGTTACTTCCTCTCTTCCATACGAGGCCATGTTAGAATTAAATCCCCGCTGCCGGCAGCACCGCACAACCGATATGGGGAAGGGATGTGTAACTGTTTTTGTCAGCCGTAAACGGGTCATTCAGATTCAGCTTTATACAGAGGACGCTACTTCAGTGGAGGGCAACTTGAAGCTGGTTACTGCACCCGAGTATATGACAGACTTCACCGGTAAAAGATTTTGTTTTGCCAAGGGTTTGTACGCATTGGTTGAAAAGTGACCTAGCTGGAATTTTCTGTCTTACAACACGATCAATAACGAAAAGCTTTAATAGAGGTAGCAATGAATGTTACAATAGGTCTATACGGATTTCTCAATACGGACGTCTGTATTGTTCCACACTTTGCTTTCAGAACTCCCAGAATCCCCTTCTATTTAAACGAACCGAGTGTGCCTCTCGAATGGCATTAGTTGCAAGGCCATCACCCCCCCTTCATATAAATTCGAAATTGGGCTCAATTTTTGATCGAGGTTGCGATATGAATGAAATCTACCTCGTTGAGGTGTAGCACGGACAATGCACTTACAGATCCCAAGCTTACTTTAGAGGTAGGGGTGCTCGTGTGTTGGGCCAGATGCCTGCCGTACTGTACATAAAGGCCCGTCTTTGCTATCAAAGCGGGAGAGAAACACAGTCGTCTGGGTCAGTCCGAGCTATGTCCTTCTCTGTAGTGGTTATGCCACCATGCCACGAAGGTCTAAAATCACAAGGAAAGTGTATTTGCTGTGTACTAGTAGTCTTCGAATCAGTTCCAATCAGAGCCCTCTATACGCACATTGCCCCAAGAAAAATCAGAAAACAATCGGCTTATCAGTTAGGTCAGAGGTCATTGTCGAGATAGAAGAGTGGCTCTCCACAAACTCACGCAGCTATGGTTTGGTTTGTTTGAAACACTCAAGTCGAAAGGTCAAAACGGTACCCTTTTTATTTCGGTCAAATTTGGTCTAAATAACTTGATGAATACTCGAAATGAAGGTATGCTGAGTTTTCAACATTCGACCGAAATGACAGGAACTTGAAGGAACAGTTCAGCTATTCAGATTTATATTTTCGAGATATTCCTTTTCATCCGTTTTAGGAAGAAACGTTACTGCATGGGAAAATTGAAGAGATTAGAAAGGTTCGGAAGAAAGTTCAGGACAGGTGGAAAAGGGTCCTGAGTGAATTAGGTATGTTAACAATTGGATTTACTAATGACAAAAAGTGAAGTTAAATATGGGATAAGGGGAAAATGATTGGTCTACAGGATCTATTTTGTGCGATCCGCTCCCGAGCAATATTTTCCACCACGCATGACTTTGCAAAGCCCATATTGTTGTCGCGTGGAAGCCAGACCTACAAAAGAACGCATATCAAGGATAGATTCCTTGGGGGCCAGCGGGGACCATTGGTGCCATTTTTAAAAGTAAAAACTAATAGAGAAAGTCGATCTTTTTGGTCCATTTTATTTCCCTTACTAACAAGAGTATAAAAAGCCCCAAACTGTTGCTTCACCCCTTTTGACCATGAATGGTTGCATGAAAAATTTCCAATTTTTTTTCGGTCCCTCGAACAAGTTTACCCCCCATTAGAAATTTTGGTTCTTGATTTTTGCGTAATGGAGTCACCTGAGGATTTTCATTTTATTATGTCTCAAAGAGACAAACTTTAAACAACAATTTTACTAAGCCTAAGTAACCCATCTAGTACGAGCTTCACAGGATTTAGGATTTCGCTTTTTCCTATGTCCCTGGTGATTGCTGGTTTAAACGATTTTGAGAAAAGAAATTTCAAGTCAACAATTTACGCATGGGCCCGATCACTAACTGTTCATAACGCACTTTTTTCATTCAACATCAGCCTCAATTTGTGGAATATGAAAGTCTTAACATTCACAATCAAGAATGATTTCTAAACTCTAATTCTCAAGTGACTTCACGACGGGGTAATAGAAAGAGATTTATTTTAAATCAGAGTTTTAAGTTTTATCTAATTCTGTTAAGTGTAGCTGCGATCAATTTGATTTTAAAACAGACCTTCGAAAGGCACCTCTGTGTCTCAGTTAACCTTATTTTCAACTTCTGTTTCACTATTTCAAGGGTTATGTTACTCCCTTTTTGGTTTTATGCCAATGAGTATTTGCATATGCATGACAACACTGTGACGTCATCCCAGGAAGAAGCCTCAATGTTACAATGCTGTGCACATCAAAAATTCCTGCATTTTTGTAGATGTTGCTTGACTAAATTTTCTCTTCTTTACTGATTCATTGTTGTTTATGTGCATAGCATAAGCAACATAGATCCCTTTGTCAAAATGTTTTCAGTATGAAGCAAATTCTGGGTTGACAATTTGAACAGAAAGCCTTCCCTAGATGATTTCACAGCAACCGCGCCCTCAGTTGTCCAGGAAAGCATGGACACTTTTAAATGTTGTAAAAAGTGCAATTTTCAATGCATTTAACTAATTGGGAATGTTTTCATACATTGGAGAAAATACAAAGTAAATGAAAAATTTTGTCTAAAAAAAGAAAAATTAATTGTTATGCTACTTTGAAATTGGGTTTCCTAGGCTTTGTTGACGAGCAGAACAAACTTGTTGCCGTTAGCTCCGTCACAAGAACCGCCTCTCCCAACACGTCGGTGAGGGCGTACAACCTCCACGACAAGCTGGTGAGAGAAACGTCCATCTTCGGCGATGCTCCCACACAGCGACATCGATATGCGGTGATACTGGTAAGCCGAGAGCCATTTCATAAAATACTCAAATGGTGAGAGATGACCGTGAATCGTGTTGGCGAAAGGGGCAGAGCTAGCGCTTCGTAGCACAGGGGGATAAGGAACTCTCCCCTCTAGTCACTGATACATGCAATCGCAGCAGTTTCATGAAGCAACAGTCTTGATCGTGTATTTGCTCCTCGCGTCTGATTCCTGGACCCACCCTGTCCAGTTTTCATGTATTGTGGAACTGATGTATTCGCCAATTCTCACTAGGGGGTTAAGGAAAGGGTTGAACATGTAGTTGAGGTCTTACAAGAGGTCTTTTAAAGGCGAAAGAGTCACTATTTGTAGACGGGACTAATTGCGTATTGCATGAACCAAAGTCAACTGACCATCCCTTAGCTTACAACCCCATTGCTGACTGCTGTCGCCCCCAAGGTGTCTGAGCCTCGGCAACTTTTTTTCATTTTTCAGTCCATGGGTTTAAACTTAGGTTTTCTTATTTCATTTCAAAGGACCGTCTTTTAGATCTGGACATAGCCGACGATTTCTTCGAAGCAGCCCACGAACTCTACCCGAAGAGGGCCGAAAAACCGAATCGACACCACAAGAGGGCGCCCCACAAGAAGCAGTCGGGGGATGGTCCTGGTGAGAACGGCGACGAAATCAACGGACAGATTCCAGCATCGCCAGGGCCAGTGATCACAGCCAATGGCCACAAGACACCAACCATGGAGCAGCGAGCTGCTACGCCAATAACGACTGAGTTGGTGGTAGCTGAAGTACACGAAGAACCAAAGTAGTCCCTGGGTAGAAGACGGGAACTCCCGACACCTAACGTCACAATGCCAAAATCTGGAAAGTGGACAAGGTAGCAAGAACAGTTTTTTTGAGAGGTCGGACTGTTTTCTTTAGGGAGAAAGGTTAGCTCCCTGTTTTTGCAAAACAGTAAGAACAGTTTCTCTAACTTCTACAACGGTTTTTGTGTTAATTAGCATCTTGCCAGAATTTCAGTGACAAAAAATCTCCCAAGGAGTCAGATTCATGATTCGAGTCGATCATTTTTAAGAAATACATCTGTTGAATGAAAATGTCAACGACACCCAGCGCCAAAGAGGTCTGAGAAGGCAAATGTTCGTGCCAAAGTTTTGTACCGGTTTCACGTTTCTTGAATCCCCGAATCAAAGCTCAAAATTCAAAACGGCTGCGCCAGACTCTGCCAACGTTGTTAACGTCGAAGAGAAGAGCACTTGTGATCTTGGGCACTGCAGAGGGTTGTGTAAGGGGACGCTTTCCCAAAATAAAATTTGAAAAACAAAAAAGCCAAAAATTGGAATAAGCGAAAAAAATGAAGAAAAAGACCCCCCTGCACACTTTTAATTGTTTTATCATTTCGTGGCTGATGAGGGCTTTGCCCACCTAGAAATTCTTCCCCGAAAAAAGGGTCCTTTCCCAGGGGCAAAACCTAGTGAAGTCCAGGTTGTCAGAAGCATTTTTAGTGTTGCATAGTTATGAAAAGCTTCTTTTCGTTTTTCCTGATTGCAATTTATTTTATCTAGACCGGTACAACTTCTACTTTTAACAGCAAGGGCGAGAATCGAATTCTTAAGTTCTGAAATAAGACTCTTACAAAGTGATATTCTCACAAATTTAAAAATAGGCCTACAGATAGCCAATCAGTATAAGTAGATCACAACTAACGGATCCAATTTTTAGCTGTGTGCTAGGCGAGTAATGTGGGAGCCTAACAGGTTTTGATTTCCTGTGAAAAAATCATTGAGGTGGTCCGTTCGATTTTTTTTTACACTCTCAGTAAAATATCAAAGGTAAAGTTCTTTTTTTGTAAAACCCTACTTTATTATGACTGGAAATTTTGTCGACAAATCTGGATTGTAATATTAAGAATTTGCAACAGTCTGTCACTGAAAGATGACGTTGCGGCAAAATAAGACACCGAGAGACGAAGAAATCTTTGCTGTGTTATTCAGGAGACAATCATTCCAAATCTTGAGTCAATCCGTCAGTAAGTGCCAGATGATCTCATGTCACTTCGAACATCAAACCCTCGCTTCCTCTCTTTCAGTCTCCCTCCAGTCTAAGAGCATTTTTGTATTACAAACCTGCCCATCGTTAGAGGATTCCATTCTCTCCATTGTTTAGGTATTCTCTTGGACCTACAGCAGCGTAAGTTTTTAATCCTCTCTCCCGGATGGAACTTTGTTGACGTGATCGTAACGGTAAACAAAGTCACATCTAACGAACGAAGTAATCGCATCAGCATCGGATTCTAAATCCAATTTTCCATCATATTTTTAGCCTCTTCTGATTCATCTAGCTGCAGAATTGAGGGACCAGCACATGTACATGCAGGTGAATCTCAAGCATGCAGTCAGTCAGTGGCTATCACATACAGTCTTACGTGTAGAGGTGTAACGAGTCCCTTAATCTTGTGAATCAAGTCGCGTCGAGTCGTCACATTCTGTAAAGACTCGAGTCCAGTCGAGTTATAAGGCCAAAAAAATTGAAGTGAGTTGAGTCGAGTCAAGTATTCAGCCCGAGTCACAATAGGATAAATAAAAGCAAGAGAGAAAGTCATTTTTGCCACTTTTAAATTTACCCCTAGGTTTGTACATGTAGTCACACCGCATCTTACTCTTGGTGATAATGACACGATATGAACATTATAAACTGGCACTGTAAGTCATTCCAAATATTTTTATGGTAAAAAAGTTCGCTTTTATTTTTGTGACTGGAGTCATATTAACTTTCACTCGGGTCGGGTCTTCTGATGTGGGACTCGGGTCGAGTCCTTTTACCCATCGGGACTCGAGTCGAGTCGCCAAAAATTGTGACTGGGGTTGGACTAGTCTAGTCCTTGACTTATTCATGACAAATCTCTGCTTACGTGTTTTGTCCAGTAACAGCCGTAAACTTTTTGGCGCCATGCTGCATCTGGCCAATTCCGGTTGATGACGCCCTCTCGCGTTGGGAATACAGTACGAGGAAAAACTGTGGTTGAGATACTACGTGTGCAGGGTCACAATTAGCTGGTTTGTGACTGCAACCTCTTGTCATCAGGGTGCAAAGTGAAAAGCTGTAGACGATGATAGTTCTTGGACAGGGCATGAACTGAGGAATTGAGCATAGTGATTACCAAATACCGCCCTCATGCGGCAAGCCCAACTTTGTGTACAAAACAGGAATCACATACCCTCTGTCACACGCAGGCTTTCAGCACGGCGGACAGAGGGTCATGAATGGAAAAACGGCGGCACAATGCGATGGGCGCGCACACTATGCCCATAAAGATGATGACTTTATCCAATTAGTATTCATTTCATCTTCTCGCGCTCCTCGCGACGCGTGTGCCGGGAGCCACAGTCCGTGTTCCTCTCCCTCTCGGCCAACCCGATGAAAGATTGGAAAAATGGCCCGGTGAGGCTAGCCTGCCGGTCCAACCAGCCAACTGGCAAATTATCGGCATCGACCGGTAGGTGGTAAAAGGTCTCCTCATAATCGGCAGTAGGTCTTCGTCCATTTCCTTTGCGACAGGTTGTGAGAGCCAGGAGCTCTGGTGACAGTCGGGTGGGGGGGGGTATCCGATGGAGTAGGTGGATAAGCCAGTGTGATTCCAGCAAACTACAGTATTGTGCATAAAGCTAAATGAGAAACAATTTCAAATCTGAGTATGACAACAAAGTAGGCTAAAATATCGATTATCACAAGCATCAAATGAATCTTGACGGTTTATATTTATGAAGTTTATTTCTATGACGTTCTTGATATGGATTTCCAGTAAATACATAGGATGACCTATTTCGGCGCGTGGCAGGACCCAAAAATGGAACAGATCAACAATGCAACTGGCGGGCCTAGTAGTGTTTTCATCAAAGATGACCGTGTGTTTGACAGGCTGCCCAGTGTGCACACTGTGTAATAACTCCGTGTACAGTTGGTGGCGCTGTCCAACCACACACGAGAGCGCAAGCGTATGTAAACTTCCAGCGGCTGCGAGATTGCGTCAAGAGGGACAACCATTTCCATCGGAGCATAATATACAAAACCATACAATCTCTCGGGCCAAGTGAGATTTCATTCAAAAAAATCGATACACTGCAGCTAAATCCAGACCAAAGTCAACCCATTTTCCTCTTGAAATTCATAATATGTTTAATTCTATGTATGCAGTGGGGTGTGAAACTAGCATTCCAGCCGCATGTTTTCGAGGCACTCAAAACGGAGACACAATTGGGCACTCCTTTTCTTGTTAGGTTTTTCCGCCTCAGTGTTTACACGAATGAGAAGACCGGCTCATTCTGGCTATATCAAGCAGTGAGGGGACACAGGGCACGATTCTCTTCACCAAAAAGTAAAAAAAAAAATTTAAAAAAAATCGCAGAATGTGTAAGAACTGAATTTAAAGGTCGATCCCATACAACAGTCGCAAGGGACCTCGTAATATCCGCGCACGTTCCCGACTTGTAGCCGCAGTGCTCATGATTGAGTGGGCGCCGTCATCGGCCGGACCAGACGTCACAAACAGCGCTCAGTATCAATTATTAAGTCAATCTTTATCTATAATTTCCTGTAATCGTTTAATGCGTTGACGGTGAGGCCCGGTTGCTAGGGAGTGTGGTAGGGCGAACACGATAGCGCGGCCGCAAATCACACTGCGTGATGTAACTAATATTGAATTAAAAATTAGTTAGCGCACTTATGTTATAATCCTTTTGTTTGCGATCCACTGATATTATTTTATCGTAAGATCCCGGCAGGTAAAACTGTGCATCTTCTTAGATGATTTTACATGCCTTTTCGGATGGTTTCTCAAGCTGTTCACGCATAAGAAGAGAACAAAAAGATTTCAATCCAGACGAAAATTAAGGTTATCTAGCATTTACGTAGCAAGTGTGCGTCTTCTTTTTAGAAAACGAAATCGTGATACATGATAAAGAAAACTGGTATGGAATATTTTTCTCACTCACTCCTGTGGGTGGGGTCTGTCTCGTGCGAATATCGTCGAGACAGAAACCAAGATGACATAAGTCTTAACAATGAAAGATAAGATTAAACAGTGCTTCCACTGCTCGGATTTTTAAGCAGCTAAGGGAGAAAGACAGCAAGGTTAACAGCAACATCGACATGAGCTCCACATTGCCTTTGGCCATTGCCAGCTTCCGAGGGTCGAAACACATCAGGTGATTTTGAACAGTTTGTTTGACAGCTATTTTATTATGTGATCAAGAACTTGTTTGTCTTTCCCGATTCCACGTCGATGAGGCAGGCATCAGTGTAGACTTAAGTAAAATACAACCACAATTCACAAAGACAGACAGATTGGAACAGATTTCACATTAGTTTGACTGTTAAGCTACCGGCTCGATGACTAGCGGATATTTAGCTTATTGGCACGAGGGAATTACGGTCCATGACCGTAGGGACTGCAGAGGCTGGCTGGCCGGCTAGGAGCTGCGTGAGCTTGGTTCGCAGTTCATGGGTGATAGGAGCTTTATACGGTCACCCGTATCGTATCACCCACGGGCTATCTGCGTAAATCTATCACTAGTCCCTACTGACTGATTGTCCAGATTGATCGGGCTCCCCGCATCAAAGGCAGCCGACCCAGACCCATCTCGGTGTAATCACTTAATTGTCAGTAATACCCGTGGATTTGATAGCAGGGGCATACTGAGTGCCTCGCAGTCCGGGTGTGGATCGCCACCGGGCCCCGATCATGTAATCGCTACATAAATTTCAGGGTCGTGGGATTAACACCTCGCCCTGGTGATAAACATAATTCTTCAAATTAGCGCTAATGGGGCGCTGTAACGCAGTCTGTCTTTGTGGTATCGTTGTTTTGTCCTCCTTTTTGGTGGAGTTTGTGCGCCACAAAGTAGCCTATACATGACCATGACCATTGGAACCGTTATGCCTGATTTCAAATCCATTGATCATATCCATTCACTTTCAAACTATTGGCTGAAATTGATTGGTGTTGACCATGAGGTTTAGAGTCCGATGTGCATTTTCCCATGAAATTATCTACATCGTTAGTTAGATAAAACACGGTAAAAGTTTTATGCTCGTTATTGGCTCGGAAGACAGAGCAACTCATTTTAGCTGATACTATAAGGGTCAATTTTGTGTTGACTTCGATGAGTAAAAGTCAGTCTCTGGTGTTCTGTCGCGGCTAGACTAAGAAGCGTGCACAATGGTCTTTGATTTGTGAAGACAAAGGGAACTAGCAGCATACATATCTGTTATTAAACAATAAGTGTCAACAGGAAATGGGTGTATATTTTATTCACTACATGCACCCATGTACAGTATGTGGAAATAAGCGGATTAAAATAGTGCGCCACCAAGAGTTTGCAACACGTTGGCCAATCACCATGCGCGAAATCTGTCGACCCAATGCGCGTTTGGAAAGGGTCGACAGATTTCGCGCGCTGGGATTAGCCCATGCGTTGCAAAAGTTTGGAGGTGCACCATTGTGAATCCCCCGTATTGTATGTTCAGTGCTAGTGACGAATCCAGAAATTTTCAAATGGTGTTTGGTATAATCTCTGAGAGACCAATGGCCAATTTAGCAATATTTGATAGCGTTATTTCAGGAAAAATAGTAAACACCTCTCCCAGTAATATTTCACCCAATTCCAGCCTTTGATTTGGAAAGTGTCTTTCATTTACACTATTCAAGGCATAATTGGCATAAATGCAAAGACTGCAGGGAGTCATGATTGAAATGAAACGTGGACCACGATTATTGTTTTTGAAGAGGAAGAAAAATTGATCGAGCGCCCAGGGCAATGTGAATGGGATTCGGAGCTACATTCAACAAGACAAACATGTTGAAGGTTCGCAATTTGTAAACCGATACTCAAAATGGAACTGACACCTCGATGTTGAAAAATGACAGTGTGGTGTAGAACAACACATGCTGGGTTTTCTCTTTCTCCATTTTTATTCAGCAAAGCTGTGAAATG